AGTAACTGTAACTAAATAGTGTTACTATAATAAAAGCTACCCAACTATCTCCTTCTTGTGCAATCTTCTACTCACCAGCATTTATAACACATAATCTAAATTAAAACAGGAGGGTTGCCCTGAAGACAAAAAATTAAACCAAAGGATTTGACTTTGCTCTTAATTCAAGTAAAATGACACTAAGGTGTATAAGTTGCTTAAACTACATGAATAACAACACAGTTATCTATGTGAATACACACTCAGCCGCCGTTTTATTAGCTGCACTTTGCCAGAACTAATCCAGTTTAATGTACAGTGAGGTGTTTTTAAAGATAACCTGCCTTCACCTGATATAAATGTTGTGGATGAAACATTGAAAAACATCAGCACAACAACACAATCCTGCAGGAACACAAACTACAGCTGAATCAACATCCCTCCACAACAGCTTCAACAAAGCTGAACACTGTAACTGCCAGGAAGGTAGAGTTTGTCTGCAGATGGTTTTATTAGACTGTACAGCTACAGTATCTAAAACAGGCAGACAACTGACTGTGTTTTCAGAGTCTGTGGTGTGACAAATTTCAGATTAAGCCTCAATTTCTGAATTTAAGTAAAGATACTAACAGTTAAATGACTTAACATGGTTCCACAAAGCTTTTAAGTCTCTTTTTGGTCATTGATTAAATCACTAAAATCTCATCTATGTGTATCCAAGTTACATAATTAGCACATATTTCCCATTAAAATGATCCCTTCCTGTCTTAAAATGGTTTTGATGTGACCCTACACTGCTGCTTTCTCTATAATGTGCAGGCTTATGTCGTCTCCATGCATCCCTCCGTGCTGCAGCTCGAGCACAACAGCTCGCCTGCTATATCTGTGTTTTTTAAATTGTAATCAGCACGTTGCAGCTACAAGTTAGAAATCCTCAGCCATGGTGCTGACGGTTTATTTGGCTCATGATGTGCCTTCTAGCGTTTAAAACCCGCCATGCGGACATGTAAACAAGCTAAACAGTCTTTTCACAGACGGGT